TTCTCCTTGCTGGCGCCGGGCTTTTAAGAGATCCCCCTTGTGCTTTTCTTCAACCAGGTTCTTGGTATTCTTTGTGGGACTCCACAACCTCATTACAGCTCGCTGCTCCTACAGGAAAGCATATTTTTCTTAGGTTAACGGCCTCAAAATCTGCAGAACGGAATTGTGGCAGAATCCCTATATTTTCTAGTTAGTAATTGTCTTTTTTGGGTTCTGTTACTCCTGGAAACAGCATTCAGGCATCAGCACTCCTCCTAGTACTAACGATCTAACAGTACAGCCTGTCCCTCAGCTTGCAGTCTGAGCTCCCATTTGTATTCATGGATCACTGCGACAGAAACTCTGTGTTCTGGTTTGACTTTGAAGAATTTCATATGGTGTCTTCTTTTTTTTTTTTGTCCTTTAAGGCCATTTCTCTTTTATGTTTTAATATTTTCCCAGAGGTTTTTTGAAAGGCCTGCTTATTTAAAATGTTATTAATTAATCTTGCATTAGTTTGTGAGCCTTTGACCCGTGAAGTGTATCAGTGAGCAGTGACAGTAACGATCTGACTGTGTTAATCTGGGGGTAAGCAGGCCTGGCAGCGGTGTCCAGTAAATGAATTCTATGAGGCTATGGCCTCGGGAAGATTGCACATTCGAGCCTCACTGTAGGGCTGCAGCTCATTCTGCCAAGTGAGAATTCTTTCTGACAAACTTCTTCAAACGCTCCTCCGTAGAATGCAGTTTCTTGTACCTGCTCCTCGATGGTGTCTGCAAGGCTAACTGTCCTGAGGGATACTTTGAGGACCTTGACCAGGGGAAGTGCACTCCCTGCCACCCCGCCTGTGCTTCCTGCTCAGGGCCTCTGCCTGACGACTGCGAGAGCTGCTCTCCTGACTCCCCCAAACTGTATGAAGGCCAGTGCTCTGAGGAATGTCCTCCAGGAACATATTACAAGATGTCAGCCTATGAATGCCAAGGTAAGGGTAGCGAAGGACTCGCACTTAATTGGTGGACAAAATGTACTTTTTATTTAAAAGAGCTGCTAATAATGTTTGTTAAGACCCACCCAATGTTATATTAGCCAATTGTGTTTTTCATTCCCTGGATCGCAGACATAAGCCCCATAGTCACACACAGGGGAGAATGAGGAGGTGTAGGCCCACCTTCCAGACAGCTGTAATTTAACACACCACAGACACCACAGCCGCATTCGGAGGGTCAGAGCCAATTGGAGGAGAAGCATGTCTCTCAACAACAGCACTACATGGCTGCAAGCACCTTGGAGGCCACAGGGGGCGCTGTGTCACAGCCAGGAGAGTCCTGGTCAAGTAATCCCACAGTACCTTTGGTAGTTCTCAGTCAATTATACAGCAAGACTTGGGGAACCCTGGTCACAGTCAGTTAGTGACATGACCCAGGCTTGAACCCGTGATCAAAGAGCTCCACCTGCTCTCGGATGAAAGCCTTTCTCAGTAAACCCACCTGCAAAGCAGAGAAAAATGTACTATAATGGTCCTCCAGGTGGGGCTGCACATTGGTGGTGGTGGAGGGGAGTCCCCATTACCTTTAAAGCGCTTTGAGTGGAGTGTCCAGAAAAGCGCTATATAAGTGTAAGCAATTATTATTATTATTAATTAAAGAGAATTAATATAGCCCCACAATGACAGAAGTAAGAAGTCCAGCCCTGCAGAGTTCAGTTTTATAAGTAGGAAATAGAGGTACATCTGTCTCCACTTTAGCTGTTCAGACTAGCTGTGTAACAATGACATTTGTTTTCCCCCTGATTCTGTGCATTGGTTGTGAGTTAAAAAGGCACTAGATCATCTGTATGTTTTCTTTCTTTGAACTGGTTTCCAATGCAATCTTAAAGATGACAACCTTTAACCTCTTGCAGATAATATCAAAGGCAGTTTTGCTTTATTACAGAAATAAATGTACAATTGCTGTGCCCTACATCTTTCAGAGTGTGACCAGACCTGTGTGAGCTGTACTGGCCCTGAGCCCACAGATTGCACCAAGTGTAAAAAAGGCCTGACACTGGATCCAAAAACCAGAATGTGTGGCATCACCAGTGACTCCAACTGCCCACCCAAAACATTTCTTGATGAAAACCAGGTCTCCTGCATGGCTTGTCACCACCAGTGTGAATCCTGTGTAGGGCCTGCTGCAAGCGACTGCCAGACCTGTGCTGTGCCCAATTACTTGTACAGTAAGAACACCTTCTCAGATCCTGTCTGTGTCCTTGTAGCTGGCTGTCCAATTTGTTTAGCAGATAGGACACATTTTCAACATAGTTCAATGCTATATCCAAGGAAATACTAGATAGAAAATAGATAGATAAAAAGGTTAATTTGTGCTATTTTTTCCCTAATTGGCCCATCCCTCACTTGACAATGTTTGCTTGTGTATAGTACTGAAATGCTATGTTTGGGGAACCATGAAGTTGTTATTTATTCTAATCTAAAGGTCTCTCAATATCAAGGTACAAGTAATGGATTATTCCATGCTGAAAAAAGAAGAAAAGGTACACAATGTTTTGGCTGTGGAGCGTTCTTTAGGTGTGAACCTTCTTCAAGCCTTTTATTTGTTCCTTTAAAGTATACTTATGCTGAACTACTCTGAATTTTATTGTGCTGTTTATCAAGGAAATCCTG